TTAACACATATTTGATGTTAAGGGTATTTGGATAGGAGTGTTAAATTTGTATCAATATAAACTAATCAATTCCGATATCAACTGTATTAATTTAATTGATACAATTTTAGTTGGTACAAATATAATTGGCTGATAATACTGTATCAATTATCTAAACTTGATTGATATGTGGTATTAGAAGTTGTATACCACTGTAATACCGTAGGTACCACCTTATATTTTTAATTATTTATTAATTTGAATTTAATCAAATAATACAAAATATTTTGATTTTTAAATTTTAACTATCTTATTTTCAGTTGCTAAATTGTATTACAGATGGATATACGAACCTTGATTGAACCCATTCCCAACGCTAACAACCTTAGTAACTCGTCTATCACTGCTCCTCAATTGCCATAGTATTGGACTATTAGTGAATGGTTGTTTAGATAGGAATACGTGGTACAACAAGAATGGTCGATGTCTTAATGCACTATATCTAGTTGGTAAAGATGTGAGTATAAATATTTTTTTAACTTCATCAATTGCGATGTTGGGACAAAATTGTACCAACATATAAACATGTATTTCTTTCGTATGAAGTATGTGTTACATGCAATGTGTGGTATGAGGTGTTACAATTTCTATGCTAACCCTACAAATGGTACCAGCCTTCATCCCACCACTCCACTCTATTACTCGCAAACACCTCCTTATCCATTTATGGGCGAAAAAGTTTTAGAAACACATCATAAAGTTTCAAGTTCCCTAACCAAATAAACCCCTAAAGTTAATTCCTAACTTCTCGAGATCCCTCCTTACATGCAAAATGTTTCTTCTCGTCTCCCTCACCGTCCTAAAGGTCTAATCCCCCGCCTCACATGAATCCAATTCACCTAGGCCTCTATCCAAACCGTATTAATTTCTTCACCACTGTAACACAGGAAACGTTCTCATCGTCCCAAAAGCGCTACCACCACTTCTCTAAAAGACCCCAACTAGAAACCCGAAGACTGTCGACATTAAATCCTCCCATCGTATTAAAACAATTTAACATAATACTCCATGTAACTTATGCTTGTTTCTAATTTTTATTGGGACCTACCTAGAAAAAGTCTCTCCTCAAATCGTCAAGAATATTAAATGTAACATTGGTACGAATATAAGTGTGAAATGTCACTTGTATAAATTTAGTCATATTAACTAGCATAAATAATTTACCACACTACAACGTCAAGAATAAGTCCGAACTCATAACTATTATGATAAGATATTTAATGAGACTTTTAAGTTTATATGACCAACAAGTATTATATATTTTATATAAAAACCTTACAACAAATTGTAACAGATCAAATGACTTGAACTGACAAGTTTTATCCTTATAAACAAAACACCAAGTTGTTATAAAGAAGTTGGACAATATATTATAGCTTAATTAATAAGCAAAATCTCATATTTGCCTCTCTCTTTTTTGGAAAATGGTTTCATAAAACACTATTATATCTACAATAAATACTATTGAAAATAAATAAATAAAGGTAAATAATGAAATGTGAAATGAAAAAATGGGAACCAACCAATCATGGAATTGATTGATTGATGTTAATTAATAACTAGCAAAGACATTAAAATCCCATCTATAGATTTGCTTAGAAACAACACCAACAAGTTGCTTATTTTGTGAATAACACAATTCAATATTTTTTCTATAATCAGATTTATAAACTATTAAAAAATATATATTGATTGATAATACATGTATGTATGTATGTATGTATCATAAGATGTCTAATAATTTGATTGAAGTTGTTGATTTTGAATCATCAAGAGATGTTGAATTCAATTTACACTCATCATATTTTTATCTTTTCAAAATCATTTTGTAATTTGTTTTTCAAAAATTATGTATGTATTTATGGTTTTAAAAACGAGGAAGGCTAAATGAACGCAATCTATATGTTAAATAAATCACGATCATTCCACTGGATTTCATTTACTGTTTGCCGGTTGCTGAATGATTTGGTGCAGAATGATTAAGTAGTGTAGAATGATTAAGTGACTCTCATGATATAGTACAAAATGAAATATAATTGTTTACAACAAAATTAGTGCTCTGAATGGTTAAGGGAGGCACATAATGCAAAATCATTCAGAGAATTTTAGAACCATTAAGAGATTGAGACTTTTTTTTTCCCAAACAAGATTCGTCTTTTAACGATTCAGAGGCTGTCTCTTAGTACCACCTTCTAAATATAAGTAAAGTTATAGAATAGAAGAATGGGTAGGTAAGATGGGTGAGTAGAAATAGAAATTGTGCAGACAAGAAGGGGATTAGTCAAAAAAGGTGATTAGGGAGAAGATTAGTCAAAAAGGAGTTTCATTAATTAATCAATCATTAAGATGAGATTAAACCCCCAAAAGATTTGGTCAACAAAGATCACAAAAGTCAAAATCTTCTTTTTGAGACATTAACTTGCTACTTGTACTTCACCCCAACTCATTCTCCCTCCTCCAACATGATGTTTTTTTATATACTATAATTTACTATAATTATAATATTATTATTTATAATATTTTATTATAAAATATATATATATATATATATATATATA